GTGCGCAAAGCGTCCCGGTCCAGAAAAGGGCGCAACTGGTAAATCAGGCGAACCTGATAAAACGCCCCCCTGGTCACGGCCGACAAATGATCTTCCAGTGTCAGCCGTGGATCCAGGAGGACACCCAAGTTGCGTGCCCTCTCTGAGGGGGCCAAAGTTTCGCCCCCTATAGACAGCGATGGAATCAGCTGACTATGCCCAGAATTCCTGAGCCAGCATGGCTCAGCATGGAAACCTCTCCCTTTCCTCTCAGCATGGCTGGTTCAGGAATTCTGGGAGTTGAAGTCCACAAGTCATAAGAGAGCCAAGGTTGCCTATCCCTGGTCTAGCCTTTCGTACAGACTGTGCATTAAGGGAGAAACAGCTGAATCGAAAGAGAAATGAAACTTATAAGCCTTTTCTTCTACTTCTTGGGCTGTCTAAGAAAGCTATCCAATGTTTCCAATATTTTGTCCTTCTTTCAGTAAAGCATACATCTTTCAGGCTGGAGTGGAGTACTTTGCTGCCTTATAAGCCTCTTGCGCTTGGCTGTGTATACAGATTTAAACAAAGTAGGGATCTCAAGACTCAAGTTCAAATCTGTAGTCCACTTTGGGCACAAAGCCTGCTGAGTGACTTTGGACCAGTCACTTTCTCTCAGCCCCAGGAAAGAGGCAATGGCTACCCACTTCTGAAAAAACGTGCCAAGAAAACTGCAGGGATTGGTCCAAGAATTGTACATGACTGAACAATAAGAACAACACATGTATTTATTTTGAGGGATTTCTTCCCATTTTCATAGTATTGCATTAATTCATTGCTTAACTCAGTTCTATAAGGTTTGGGGGGGGGGGTCTGTAAATTTGGTTCTGGTGTATCCCTGTATTACAGAAAGAGAAAAGATATCTAGAGAATAACCTTTCTATATAATAGGACTGGGGTTCATTTTGTGTGAAATAGCACATTACTCATATTTTTGAAGTTACTCATATTTTTTGAAGTTACTCATGACCCACAGGACAGTTATACATAGGTACAGTAATGTAGTCATGGGATGGAATGAACTAATAGTTAAAAAAATTCCAAAGGGAGGAAATTTGGTTGATTTCTCCCCCCCCCCCCCCCCCCAGCTTTGCTGATGTCTTGCAACAGCAAGGATACAATTACGTTATAGCACATTTTAGCTGTTGGTTTATGATGCTACTAAAGAATTAGTAATCAAGTCACCTGAATGTGTACTTACACTAGGCTGGGAATAGAACCAGAATGATGCAATGATGTTGGGTTTGGAGTGAGTGACCTAGGTTTTGTTCCTCCTTCAGAAGTTCACTGGGTGACTTTGTGCAATTTACTTTCTCACAGCCTGCCTATTTCACAAAGTTGTGGTTGAGGGCCAAAAAAAAGAAAGCGAGAACACCGTGGATGTTACTTGGAGCTTCTAAAGGAAAGGTAGAATGTAACCATAACCAATAACCACAAGCATTTCATCAGCCAGCTATATTCATTTCTTTCTTCAAATGAGAAATGGATTTAGATAATAGGAAAATAGGTAAATAATAACGGATTGGCATTTCTCATTGTTTTTCTACTCTTTTTTATCATGAGAACATTCAGCTGATTGTTGTGAAGTTCATAAATAATGTCTTCTTTTTAACCATCCTCAGGTTTCTTTATTGCAGTGGTGCAACTTTGAGCAAAGATATAGGGAATTAATATGAAGAATATTCTTTATTTGAGCATCTGTTGAGGAATTGATTTTGGGGTCTATTTTGATAGTTCCTTTTTTGTTCATTCTTCCTGTAGATGCTGACCTCAGCATAGATCAGACAGCTTGGGGGGACAGTGGTGTTTATTACTGCACCGTGACATCTTCTCAAGACTTGCAAGGCAACAACGAAGCCTATGCTGAACTCATTGTATTGGGTAAGTGAGAACACTCTTATTGCATGCAGATAATAATCACATTAGTCTCCCAAAGGTATGAAGCCACTTGGGTGGCAAAAAGGATGTTGCTCACAAAACTGGCAACATTACCTCCCATCCATTAAAAAAGGTAAAATTTGGTTTTGGTTTGCCCACAGAAGGAATGAATTCATGGCATGCAGCTCCTATTACTGAAAAAGAAAAGTGTCTTTATTGCTTACAAAAAAGAAATGCACACAGCCTTGGTTCACACATGCACCAAAGCATGGTGTGGTTGGTTTTGTTTGACATAGCATATTTAGCAAACCTAGCCATTGTAGTTTGTAAATCATGGTTTAAGGCTTTGCATGTTGTATGAAGCAATATTTGGCTAAGCAAAGCATGACCCATGAACACTGTAGTATGAAACACATATGTAACCACGTCAAGGAGAAAGCTAGCTAGTTTTTATCTCACCTGACCTATTTTTTACTTACAGATTTGGACTTTTCTTTTTTTTAAGTAGGAGGGAAAATTCAGAACCACTCCCAATCATTTGTGTTCTAAACTGAGGCACTCCAATCTGCTCTACTTCCTTTTTTTCTTCTTCTGTATCTGTATAGGTCCAGCCTGAGACTTAAGAGTGTATGTGTTTCATGCCTGGGACTTCAGCACTGTTCTGTCTCCTTTACTATGTGCTGGCCTTACACTGTTTACATGCTGCTACTTCTCTCTCTGTCGCCATCTTTTTCATACCTAGGTGTGTCTGAGCACCTAAGTATGGACACTTGCCAGATATATTTCTGTGTTCTTTTGTGGTCATTAAAATAAATGCCAGTATGCTAGACAAAGCAGGATACTCTGAAACAGGTTAATATTTCTTTTATTTTCACAAAGATTATTTCTTTACACACTTTGCCCATGAAACAGTGACCTCGTTGCAGCAGAGCAGTGTTTCTCAAATATTGGCAACTTTAAGATGTGTGAGATGCTGACTGGGGAATTCTGGCAGTTGAAGTCCACATCTTAATGTTGCCAAGGTTGAAAAACATTGTAATAGAACAGGGGTGTCAAACTGGAGGCCCGCAGGCCAGATGCGTCACATGCAGGCCACACCCACCCCAGCTCCGCAAAGGCAAAAAACATCGCGATATGTCACGATATGTCACATGACGCAATCGTGTTTGACACCCTTGTAGTAGAGGAACCATTTTTAAGGGGGGCAGTGGGGAATGGTGGAAAGCCAATATTGTTTTATTTCTCCTTTCCATAAGCAGTGCCAACTGGCTTGCTTTATAACATTGATCCTGGCTATGAGAGCTTATATTTTTGGCTGCTTTTTAAAAATGATGCTCTTCAGTTAGTTTGTCATAAGCAAATCGGCATGCATTTTACTTGTTTTTTTATGACTATCTGTCATGAAAAACAGGGGAGAGCTATGTAGTCCTTCCAAACCTTCAATGCTCCTTCCTAGAGATGCTGTCCTAAAATAACAGGAATAAAAAGAGAGTTTTCTGAACATGAATCTTGTGTTCCACTCCAGAACCAGGCCCCTTACCCCAAGAAAGGTTCAGATCCAGCTGTCTTAAATGTCAATCAACGTGGCGATTGTCTTATCATCCAGACATTCCTGGGCAATATTTCTCAACCTTGTCAACTTTAAGCTGTGAGGACTTCAACTCCCAGAATCCCCCAGCCAGCATTCTGGCAGGGGGATTCTGGGAGTTGACGTCCACACAATTTAACATTGCCAAGGTTGGGAAACACTGCTCTAAAAGATTCCTTGTTCTTTATCCAGAAAAATCAACAGAAACGCTGACAACTGTACCTCCTCCTCCAATGTCTTCTCTTAAAATTATGCTCTTAAACATGACACTGAAAAATCACTTTTGAAGTTTATCTTCTGCATTATGTTTGAATCTCTTGAGTAAAGTATATAGAGCTGAAATAGTAATTTAAGAATATATTTTAAAATCCACATTATGCCATTATCGTAGGTTACCCAAATGAATAAGACCCCCTGCTCACAAATCATACAATATATCCGATAGAAAAAATCTAAAACAAGCATTAGACAAATTAACAGAGTAGAAAAGGACTATCTATAATTTCTCATCATATTAGCTATAGGAAATCTCCATGCATAAGAACTAAACAGGTTGTACTGAAGATATAAAGCAAGGGAAAGCTATTAAGTTTTGTACTTTTCCGGTAAGCTTCTCTGAAACATCTGGCTGGCCACTCTGGGTTGTTGGATGCTGGGCTTATTGGTGTGACCCTATATAGATGGGGTCTTCAAACTTGGCCCTTTTATGACTTGTGGACTTCAACTCCCAGAATTCCTCAGCCAGCATGGCTGGCTGAGAAATTCTGGGAGTTGAAGTCCACAAGTCATAAAAGGGCCACGTTTGAAGACACCCCATCTATATAGCTTCTAAAATCCTGGCTGGTGCTTGTGACCTGATTTTCTTCCCACGCATTTCTAATGTTGACGTCAACATGCTCCCTGGAGAATTGTGTGAGAGAGTTTTTCCCACTAGAGGGAGCAGAGCAAGCAGAAGCTGGTGCGCCTGGGGTAGGCTTGATGCACAGCTCACTTCAGCATTGTTGTTTTGAGGTTGGGTTTCATGTTAAAGGCAGTGAGGGGGGGTCTGTTTCCCTTCAGATACCAGAGTCTCTGAAGACTGAATGTCATTCCCTGATTTATTCCTGCCAGAGTCCCTGCTGAGAGCTGGGATGGATGGTGTGCCTGGTTGTGCCAGGATGAATTGTTTTTTAAAAAAGAAAGTATGGCAATATCTGGGAAGGGAAGCCTTTCAAATATATTGCTCCATAAGGGTGTGTATGTGTTTGTATGCACGTTCCTTTTCCTGACTGAGAGGCCCTTGGCAATGCTCACTTAAACACCTGTCTTGACGCCTTTAAGCTTTACTCATATCTGGAAGATGACAGCTGTAAGCTTAGCTAGGTATAAACAGATATACAAACGCTCATCACTTCTCTGCTGAAAGAATTATGCCTTGCTTGTATGGATAGCCCATTGCTGCAGGACATGTACATTTTCTCCTTGCATTTCCCTGGGGCCAGTTTGAAACCAATTTTAAAAAGAACGGAAAACTGTCTCGGGTACAATCATTATAGTCTGGCCAAATTGACTAGCTAAATAATTGAGAGGGCTGCATTGGGCAACAGAGGTGGCCAGAAGGTTGATCGATGACTGAGAATATTCCAAATGGATTTGTATTAGCTTGGCAAGAGCCCTAACTCTTGGTGTGGAACAGAAAGTGACACAGTTTGTCTTATCGTCCAGGTTAGGCTGTTGAAATCAAGGAAACTTGTGGGGAGATAGAGGTGAACCCATGCATGAAAGGATGTGTGTGCAAATTGTAGATCGTTGACTAATTCCTGGACTGTGCTGGTTCAGCAGTCTGGCTTTTGCTTCTTCAGCCTCTCATTTGCAACTAATTTCCATGCAAGGATTCCGGCGAAGCATCAAGTTAATCTAAGCTCATTGTTAGGATATCCGTGCTGTGTAAGAGCAGTTGCTTGTGAAGGTTGCAGGTGGCCCTTGGTTGACAACGGTAATTGAGACTCAGCGCTCCTCCATTGCCAAGCAACAGAAGTCATAAAGTGTAACGTCACATGACCTCACAAACTTACGATGGCGGCTCCAGTTGCCATCCTCAGGTGAATCCCACGAGATTGCAGCATCCCGTGATCAGCACATTTCTGCGATCTTCTGCAATCTTCCCCACTGACAAAAGCCAGCAGTGAAAGTTGCAAGTGGCGATCATATGACTGCAGGATGCTGCGATGTTATAATTGCGAGCTGGCTGCTAGGCACCCATATTGCGATCACGGTCATTGCTCTACTGTAAATACTTTACTAACTAGTCCCCTTCAACTCTTTATAAAAGCTCCTGGCAGCTTTTACTGTACTGTGTCGGATAGAATTTAGCCGATGCTTTTCATGAAGCCCCCCTCTGGCTTAGAAAGACTTAGCTCCGTGTCAGCCAGATCTCTTCATAACTTTTTCCTGTTTGTTTGTTTTTTGTTCTGTAGGCAAGTCCTCCGGTGTCTCAGAGCTTTTGCCAGGCTTTCAGATAGGGCATATGGAAGGTACTGCCTTTTTCTTCCATGCTTAATTTCTAAGTGGTTGGGAAACGGTTGACTTCACTCCTATTATTTTAATTTTTCCTCTCCTTGAATTTCTCAAAGTTAGAAGTAGAAGTGCTTGGAATGCAAAGGGTTCTGAAATGCTTGTCTGTCTGTCTGTCTGTCTGTCTATTTGTCTGTTTTTTTACCGTGACCTTGCTATTACAAGATATAGACTTTTCTGTTCTCCTCATAACATTGTAAAAAAAGTACCCCTTGGCACTACTGCAAAAATGTGGGCTTCAGCACAGGGATATTGTGTTGTGGAGCTTTTGGCTGAATTACAAATGCAAAATGCACAGTCTGCTTCATACCCCTCACTTTCTGTGATGTTGGGCATGCAAGCTAGGATGTGCTCTTCCCTTTCTATACAGACCGTTATGACAAGCTGGGGTATGCTGGGGCACCTCGTTTGGAAAAGCCACTTCTGAGTCTAAAGTGTTATCAGTCCTGTGCCCTTGTTCTATGCCCCCCCCCCCCCGTTTGAAATGACTTTCTGCTTATTGTGAGTTGAAGTCGGAGAATCTCCCTTGTTGGGATTGATAGGTCCTGCTTAAGAAATGTTCTTTCAGATCCCCCAGAGCAGTGATGGCGAACCTTTGAGAGACCCGAGTGCCCAAACTGCAACCCAAAACCCACCTATTTATCACAAAGTGCCAACATGGCAATTTAATCTGAATACTGAGGTTTTAGTTTAGAAAAAAACAACACATTAACATCTTTTGTCTTAAAAGAAAAACACAATAACAAAGCTTTCAATGATACCCCAACAACTTTTTACGGAAAGGTAAAAGTTTGCATTTGGCATGCTTTTGAACAATTAATGTGATTTTTGCTGTTGTATGCATGCTGATAATTTGTCTAACCTTGGCTTATACTTTGTAAGTTTGAAAGCAACACATGCAACACTCAGGTCATCTGTTAGTCTGTTTCTGGTGTCAGATTTGATATAATTCAAAGCTGAAAACAGCGCACTCGCTCTGGAGGCTTGCTTTGGCTAGGAAGGGGCTTGAGAAATGGCTTTTTCCTGCGAAAACTTAGCCAAAGAGCAAGGCGCGCGTGCCCACAGAGAGGGCTCCGAATGCCCCCTCTGGCACGCATGCCATAGGTTCGCCACCACTGCCCCAGAGGTATTTGATAGGTGGAATTATCCACATTGTCACGAAGTATAAATTGTCCCTGTAATAAAGTCCAATACTCTACAAATAATGTAGGAAGGGGGAAATGCTCAGAGCCAGTGTTATACATCACAGGGGATATGTCCAAGTGAGACAAAATCAGCATAAAGAGGAATGCAGAAATTGTACCTGAAATGGCATGGCCATCTCAACAGATCAGTTCATTCCAGAAGTCTGCCCATCCTTTGCTAAACAAGGACTGCTATGCAGTGTTTCTCAACCTTGACAATTTTAAGGCATGTGGACTTCAACTCCCAGAATTCCACAGCCAGCAATGCTGGCTGTGGAATTCTGGGAGTTGAAGTCCACATGCCTTAAAATTGTCAAGGTTGAGAAACACTGTCTTAAAGCCTACAGGGACTCCTTTATTTTGGGTTTTGCTCCACTGATCAGACTCAAACGAGGGGATTCTTTGAAACCTTATCTATGTTTCTGGGAGTCCTCCACTGCCGCCTTCCAGAACAGGGCACTCAGTGCATATTATTAAAACTAAAACTCTTTTTTTGACACCAATCAGAGTGCTGTGAGTGAGATGCTGGGATTGTTTTGCCCATCTTTGTAGATGTTAACATCTTGGCAGATGTTAACAAACCGTAATAGCCGACTCTCTCGATCCAATGGGATTCATTGGCTGTATCTCTAAGGGCTGCTTCCCATGCTTTCTTCCTAGATTGGGTCTTTGTGGTCTTGGTTGTGCTGGCCTTCTTTCTGGTCTTCCTGCTCCTTGGAATCTGTTGGTGCCAGTGCTGCCCCCATACCTGCTGCTGCTATGTCCGATGTCCTTGTTGCCCAGAGAGGTGTTGCTGCCCCGAAGCACGTAAGTTCCCTTTACGGACCTGGTTTCACCTTTTCCCTGGAAGTGATTGTCTGTCTAGTCCAGGGGTAGGCAACCTTGGCTCTTTTATGACTCGTGGACTTCAACTCCCAGAGCCAAGGTTGCCTACCCCTGGTCTAGTCTAATGAAGAGAAGGACGAGGGGGGACATGATAGCAGTGCTCCAATATCTCAGGGGCTGCCACAGAGAAGAGGGAGTCAAGCTATTTTCCAAAGCGCCTGAAGGCATGACAAGAAGCAGTGGATGGAAACTAATCAAGGAGACAAGCAACCTAGAACTAAGGAGAAACTTCCTGACAGTTAGAACAATTAACCAGTGGAACAACCTGCCTCCAGAAGCTGTGAATGCTCCAACACTGGAAGTTTTTAAGAAGAGACTGGACAGCCATTAGTCTGAAATGGTATAGGGTTTCCTGCCTGAGCAGGGGGTTGGACTAGATGACCTCCAAGGTCCCTTCCAACTTTATTATTATTATTATTATTATTATTATTATTATTATTATTATTATTATTATTATTATTATTAAGATCTCAAAACTTCTGTAGTAATAATAATAATAATAATAATAATAATAATAATAATAATAATAATAGTAATAAAGTTGGAAGGGACCTTGGAGGTCATCGAGTCCAACCCTCTGCTAAGGCAGGAAACCTTATACCATTTCAGACAAATGGCTGTCCAGTCTCTTCTTAAAAACTTCCAGTGTTGGAACATTCACTGCTTCTGGAGGCAGGTTGTTCCACTGGTTAATTGTTCTAACTGTCAGGAAGTTTCTCCTTAGTTCTTGGTTGCTTCTCTCCTTGATTAGTTTCCACCCATTGCTTCTTGTCCTGCCTTCAGGTGCTTTGGAGAAGAGCTTGACTCCCTCTTCTTTGTGGCAGCCCCTGAGATATTGGAACACTGCTATCATGTCCCCCCTCTTGTGCTGGTCTCATCGAACAGGTTCTTCTACTTGTAAGTTGGTCTGTTTGTTGTTCACATTTACTCAAGCAAACTATTCATCATGTTCCACAGTCTGGTGGCTTCCAGCTGTGTTGGGTTGGGAGTGCTGTAATCCCTTGCTGGCTGCTGGAGATTTGGAAGTCGGTCCAGCACATTGGGAGGGCAACGGGTAAGGGGAAAATGCTTAGCGGGGCATTGCTAGAGAGGGGTGGGCATGCTGAGGCCATCCTGCTCAGAACTACAGTAATAGAGTTGCAATTGGCTATCTGGATTCCTAAGCTGGGCGTATTCAGGGTGTGTTTAAAGTTATGCTGTTTTGTTTCTGATGCTTTCATTGACAGTCAAACTTAAAGGGATTCCCAAGAACATTTAAGTAAAGGGAGTCTTTGCCTGAGGATCACAATTGGCAATGGAATTTTGGTCACTAAGTGATGCAGTTGTTAAGCAAGTCATGATATGACCAGACCAGATTTAAGACCATTTTTTTAAACCACGGTTGTTAAGCAAATCTGGCTTCCCCTATTGATTTTGCTGGTCGGAAGTCTCAAATTGTGATCATGCGACTACAGATTGCGGCAACTATTATAAGTGTGACCTGGTTGCCAAGTGCCCAAATCACAATTAGGACCTGGTGCGTTAGTTGTGGCTTTGAGACAGCTTTTTTCAGTGCTGTCACAACTTCGAACCACTGTTAAACGAGTGGCCGTAAGTCGAGGACAACCTGTACAGATGATCAATATTCTGTGATTCTTTGCTTGCCTCTCTTACCGCCATGCCCTCCCCCTCCCAACCCAAGATCATTAAATTGAAGAAAGAAGCACTGTTATTAATCTCAAAAGACGGCAAAGAAATCGAATTTTATCCAGGGATCACATTCTCAAGGTTAATGGCTGTAACGGTGGGTTGTAATAAGTGTCCTGCAGGGCCTTTGTTCTATGCAGCGTGTCTTAAAAAGCAAACACCAGACCTTTATCTGGAAATCTTGTCTTTCCAGTGTATGTGGCAGGGAAAGCTGCAACATCTGGAGTCCCCAGTGTTTATGCACCCAGTATTTATGCCTCCAGCAATCCGCTGAAACCAGCTCCCCCAGCCACCATGATCCCTATGGGCCCAATGTCTCCAATGTACAATGGTTACGGAGTGGATTATGATAGAGCCAGCTCAGGTAAGTGGCTTCTCTCGACTGAATTTACGTTGATCCAGCTAGATCCCAGCTAGTGGAATTAACTGTCTAAAACAGTGGCCACCAACCTTTCCAGCTTGGCGGCCTGGCCCAGTGCAGGGGGGGGGGTTTGTGAGCAGAAGGCGCTTGTGCTCGTGCGTGAAACTCCAGTCACGTGAGCGGAGGATGCTTGACTGGAGGAAGCTTGTGCTCGCGTGCGAAGCTCCACTCGTGTGAGGGGAGGGTGCTCGCGTGCGAAGCTCCATTTGCCTACCCCTGGCCTAAATGGAACTTTGCTCATGAGCCCAAGCGCCCTCTGCTCGCATGAGTGGAGCTTTGTGCATGCGTGCCCACCATTTATGTGAGTGGAGCTTCATGCATGCATGCTTTGAACAGGCCATGGCCCAGGAGTTGGGGAACCCTGGTCTAGAAGACCTTGTGCTACTCTAAGGTTTATCCTTTTGGGTTGTCTCCTAGATTGCGTTTTGGATTGTCCTTAATCTAATTGGATACCTCTTCTGGCTCTCCCTAATGCTAGATCTCATGGACAATTGAAATCAGTTGATAATTAATTGGGGGAAGGGAAGAATTCTCTCAGATTTGCTTGAACCCCTGGTTCTTTTGCATTAAACAAAAAGACCAACTAGCCCAGGGGTAGGCAACCTTGGCTCTTTTATGACTCATGGACTTCAACTCCCAGAATTCCTGAGCCAGCATGGCTCAGCATGGAAACCTCTCCCTTTCCCCTCAGCATGGCTGGCTCAGGAATTCTGGGAGTTGAAGTCCACCAGTCATAAAAGAGCCAAGGTTGCCTACCCCTGAACTAGCCTTTTATTTTATGGCTTCTTAGGGCTTGCATTGTAATGTGCTTAATGAAAGCGTAGCTTACAGTGTTGTATTGCAGGCCACTGCTAGGATTCAGAAGTACAGCCACGGGGCAGTTTGTCCTTCCTACTACTAGTTGCATGTCTCACATCCCTTTTATGGGAACTTTTTGTTGTCTTTCGATTGCATTACAGTTGGTGGAAACAGCTCCCAAGTGCCTCTCCTGAGGGATACTGAAAGTGTTGCAAACGCTGGTAAGAAACATGGAATGGAATACCGAGTTTGCTTAGATATTGTGCTTCTATCTAATCAGGCATGCTTGGTTGTGGGGAAACTGCTCACGCTGATGATTCAACATTTTGTTCATCAGAGGAATTATAATTATCATGTTGCTTCAGTTGGCTGATCCAGCTGTTTGCAGCTGAGGGTGATGCTAATTCTCCTTCCTACCACACAGAATGGGAAACACTGTTGCGGTGCTTGGCTTATGGAGTGGCACTAGCTTTGCAGCTGAATTTTTAGATCTACCCATCCTACATAGAAACACACACACACACGCCTTTTTTCTAATTGGTGCCACACAGCTATGTTAGGATTTCTGCTTATCGAATTTCCACCTCGTATGTCCAAGGTGGAAGTTCGATAGATCTAAACTTCATAAAATTAAACCAAATTCATTTTAAACACCCCACCCCCTTCCAAACACTTGTCAGAATAGCTGCTTTTTGAAGAAATGCATCTGAGCCATTTCTTGAGACAGAGATTCATACAAGCTTTTGCTGGACCTCAGCTGATTGATCCTTTCTCCGAAGAGATCATCAAAAGTTGGATCTTCGAGATAAATTCTCCGTTCAGCAGGAAGATCTTTCCTCTTAACAGGAGAGAAAACATACATATACTTTTGGTCTATAGCAGGGGTAGGCCACCTTGGCTCTTTTATGACTCGTGGACTTCAACTCCCAGAATTCCTGAGCCAGCATGGCTCAGCTTGGAAACCTCTCCCTTTCCCCTCAGCATGGCTGGCTCAGGAATTCTGGGAGTTGAAGTCCACGAGTCATAAAAGAGCCAAGGTTGCCTACCCCTGGTCTGTAGTGTTACAACCTTGAGCTTACTGAAGTGAGTGGTAACAAAATCTCCCCAGCCCGAGTGCTTCATGCCACCTGCTCTGTCTGCTTCAAGCAGCAGCACTTGGTGCAAAGCACAAGAGGGATTACAATTGGCAAAGCAGGTCCTGCCTCCTCTTCCAATTTCAATGGCAGTTGGAATGGTACCCAGTGGTGGGTGGCTCACAGGATTGCCAACCTATTTGGCAATCTCCCCCAGGCTTATGGCTCCTTAAAAATAAAAAAACACCTGCCCTATATCCTAAAGCCTGCTCCTGATCTCTCTTCTCCAGCTGTGCGCAGTGGCTATCGCATCCAAGCCAACCAGCAGGATGACTCCATGCGGGTGCTCTACTATATGGAGAAGGAGCTGGCCAACTTTGACCCTACTCGCCCAGGGCAGCCCAGTGGGAGGCTTGAGAAAGGTACTTTGCTGTGTAGGAACTAGAGTGTGCCCAACTGATCCTTCACTGAGTTGTCACAGCAGAGTGCCCCGTAGTGTTGGGAGGAGAAAGGAATAATTCGCTGTCTTGTTTTCCAGCCTCCGTGATGAGTGAACTAAGCTCTCTTCATGAAGATGACCGGCGTTATGAGCTGCGGCAGGGGATGGGGAGGCTGCGTGGCCAGGCCATGTCTCCCATCAGGGACTTGGAGGAGGAAAGCGTACGGAGCAGCGAGAACCGGCGCTTGTTGCCCCCCACCCCTTGGCGTGACCGCTATGAGGACTCCCCACCCCGAAGCCATGGCCGACGCCCGCGTTCCCGCTCGGTAGATGGCCTGGATGATTTTGAACGGGACTCCTACCCTTCCCGGCCCAGAAGTCGGGGTCAACATGGCTCGGACAATGAATGGCATCACCGTGATTATTCCCCCGACTCCCGCTACGACTCTGAGCGCTACGGCAGACGCCGAAGTCGAAGTCGGGATGACTTGCGGGATCTGGAGCGAACCCATTATGATAACCGGCTCCTGGAGGAAGCAATGCGGAAGAAGCAGCGGGCAGGTAGCCGTGAAGACCTGGATCACGGAAGCGCCTCCAATGGGAGGTCTGGCCACAGGAAAAACCGGGATGAAGATAGCAATGGCTTTCCTCCTCCTCCTCCCCCTCCGTACACAGAGACCGAATCTGTATCTTCTCACAGCAAGGATGACCGCAAACTGCGAAGGGTGAGACCAAAAAAATGAGGAGAAGGACCCACAATTGTAATGCTTTATAAATGGAGATGTCGTGGATAAGGTTCCTTTGAGCAAAATATTCACGTTATTGTTGAGTGTGCATGAATGGTTTGTGCATTATCTTTCGTTATATATTTGGTTGCATTTACACTACGTAATGCAGTGTAAATCCACCTAATCGTGCCTTGTTGAAGTAAGTCAGGACAAGACAAACCACAAACCAACTTGAAGGTATTTTCTGCAGGGGGTAAATAGAGCAGATTTTCTAGGATTTAGCCCTATCCCTTAAGATCGAATTAAGTTACATACCGTAGCAATCACTGTTGTTGCAAATGGATTTTTTTCCTCCCATATTGGATGTATCATGTATCTTTTTTTTTATGTCTCAGTGAGGTCCCAGGTTGCTAATATTTGCACCTTGGAGACTTGTCTGCAAAATGTGTATTTGTGTGTACATAGCTGGTGTGTTATTTATTTTTAATCTTGTGCCGTTAATCTTAAAATGGTTCTGAAGATTATGGTATGATTAACCTTGAATTTTTTTTCTTTCCTCTACAGAATCATGCTGTCAGCAGAGAAAGCTTGGTTGTTTAATTCTTTCCGCTCTTTCTGGAATATGAGAGACTTTGTGTCTTGAATGGCTACAGGAACACTCTTCATGTGTCAGCATCAGTTTGATTCAGGAGGACCTAGAGACGAAATGGGACAGCATTTAGGCTGGATCTGAGCAGCCATCAAAGGACTGGGCTTACTGCACTAGGTCACCTCACAGTGTCTTAGCCCATCTTCATCAGAGGCAGGCTAGGATTCTTGTAAGATTCCTTAAGATTCTTAGTATTATAGACATTTTAAAATACGTTTTGGGTACTCCTTTTGAATTTCAGAGCTATCTATTTCTGAAATGTGCTATTCTGGAAAGAGGATTGCTTCAGATGTGATCCCCTGATACTGCAAAGAGAAAGAAATGGTTTATTTCATTGAACACCACTTGGATACCTACTTGCCTTTAATTTTTTTCCCCCCTTGTAGTTTTGAAGAGGATTCCAAAGAAAGATGCATTTATATGTATTACCTTTTTTATTCTGATTTTAAAGAAGTGCTTTAAACACATTTGATACTTAAGTAATGTGACTGTGTGTTTAAGGGTTTTTAGAACCTGAATATGAAACTACTGATGCTGTAAATATTTAAGTAATAAGCCACCAAGGGCTTTTTTTTAATTTCTGTACTTTTTTTAAAAAAAAATGAGATTACATTTTTATAGGAATGAAAACAAAAATGAACAGAGCACATGTATCGGCATTTTCAGAGTGGACTGAAATTCCTCCCGTTTTTTCCAGCCCTCATATCTTCCAGATGTGTGAGGTCGCATATTGGACATCTAAATATACATTCTGAAAGTTACCCATCGTAATTCACATGAGAAAATGTGAATGATTAGTTCTGCTATTTTCACTTTAATAAATAACAGATCCCTACAATTGCTACAGTCACATGTGCATTGCTGGATGACTTACATTCATCTGTCCTGGAACTTGTACTTAAGTCCTCTGCTGCAGTTTTACAGAGAGAAAAATAAATAGATGGGTGATACTTTAGAAACTGTCCAGCAGGAGACAACAATTCTTGTGTAGAATTATAACACAATGGGACATTCCCTAAGTTGCTAGCACAAAATGATGTGTGTGCTGTTCACCAGCCAGCCACAAGAGAGAGGCAGGTCAGGTCAACTACCTTTACATATCTGGTTGGATGGCCATAAAACGAGACAGACTATCCTCACTCTTCAATGCCTTCACAATGTAGAGATGTGTTTTCTGAATAAAAAGCGGGATTTTTTTCAATGGTGCCTTGGGTATTATTCATAGCATAAACAGATGTTCTCAAGTATATGTGTATAAACACTCGTAGCATTTTATAGGGGTGAAGCTACATGCAACAAAGCTGCAGTGAGCAACAAAGCAACCCAGGAAATGGTCTCCTGTGTTTAATTCTTGGCGAACAATAGTGCCTCGAGATACAAACTTCCAGCTGCCACTTTTAACTGCCTGATCAATTAGGGCAGGTCCTTCCTAAGTTTCTTTGCCTGCCCATTAAGCCACTGGGGATTCCTGTCTCTCCCTCTTCCCCCAAGCCAGTCGTGGCGAACCTATGGCACGGGTGCCAGAGGCGGCACGCAGAGCCCTCTCTGTGGGCACGCGCGCCGTCGCCTCAGTCCCAGGCCTTCAGCTGGGTTTTATAAAACCTTTTCGCTTTAGGCCTCTGCCGCCGTGTACAAAAAAAGAGGTTCAATCAATCAGTCAATTTCAACTTCTCGCGGAAAAAAAAAGATCTTGCAAAGTTGGAATTGATTGATTGAACTTTTTAGTCTCACCCAGTCTGCCGTTACCACCGCAGCCACGCCCACCCAATGGGCCAAACCCAGCCAATGGGCCACATCCACCCGGCACCCGACGATGCATAAGTGGGTTTTGGGTTGCAGTTTGGGCACTCGGTCTCTAAAAGGTTCGCCATCACTGCCCCAAGCCATCTTGATATTCCATTATAGCAATCAAGGTAAAGCTTGAATGCTTAAGCTTGAATGAAGCAATCCTGGTGAACAGCAGGAGCAAGATGCAGTCTTTTTATTTATTTTTTTAAAAAGGTTTTAAGCAGAGGTCCCCAACCTTTTGGGCACCAGGGACCGGTTCTGTAGAGAGAGGTTTTTCAATGGACCGGAGGGGGCGTGGTTTTGTGTGCTACCTGCATCCCACGGATGGGGCTTTGCTTGTTTGTGTGGACCGGTTGCTGGCATGCTGCGGCCCGGTGCCGGTCCACGGACCGGGGGTTGGGGACCCCTGGTTTTAAGTATGAAATCCATAGATAAGTGTAGTGATGTAGGAATTGGACCAGGACTGGGGAGCCTGTGAGTTCTACTCCCTCTGGCATGGAAACTGGTCATGTGGTTTTGGGCCAGTCCCTCAGCCCCAACCCATCTCACAGGCTGCTGTTTGTAGGGAAAATCGGCAGCAAGGGACCATTGTCTACGTTGCCTTGTACAAAAATGAGGATATAAATCTAACAACACAACTTCCTCCTTTTATGCATTGATTGTACTTACAATTTAGAGCCCCCGGGGGCCAGTAAATTTAAATAAATGGATCAATAAATAAAAATAACATTTTTTTGAACTTTCTAAATGGATAGCTAGAACCTGCAGCATCAAGTCAGTACGTAAACTTCTTTATCCATTCTGCTGTTTTTCTGACTCGAAAATATTCACCTTTTCTCTTTAGATAATTCCTGTGAATCGCTCCTTTAGTCTTGTACCTTCCGTTCAGTTTTGCTTTATTTCTTGACCTATTTTTATTCTAGACTCCTGAGCTTTCTATTTATTTTTATTTGTTCCAATTTGTGCACTGCCATTCTGTTCTCTTTAATTGCCCTGGCCTAAACTGTCTTTTTCCATAGAAGATCTGTCCAACCTGCTCCAACTCTGCCAACTGGGGTGGGGGGGGTGGGAATCTGTTTGCCCTCTCAAGAATTACAGGATGTTGATAGTTCCCGAAGGTGCCATCATCATCACAGCTTCATTCAGGAAGTCCTTTAGCACTTTATAATACTCAAATCCTTTTTCGGGGCCTGAAAACGACCTTTACAAAAACCTGCCATACCTTATGGAAGATTTGGATGTTAAAAGAAATGAATTTGATGTTGAATCTTACAACAGCCGCAAGATTATTGGTACCCCAATTTTGGAAGAAGGACTCTTTGCCCACTATAGAAGAATGGACCCTTAAAGTGTCAAATTTAGCAGAAATGGCTAAAATTTCCGCTTATTTGAAGGATCAATCACAAGAAAGATACTTCTCGGTCTGGAGAAGATGGATAGATTATATTCAGAATAAATATGGGACTAAAAAGTTTCATTTGGGTTATGAGTAAACTCTAGAGTATTGTTATTATTAATAGTTTATTTTAATGGAATTTTTGTTAGTTTTAATTATATGATATTATTTTTAATATTAGTATTGTATTGTTTAATATTTAGGTTATGAATATGTTTAATTTTAATTTGTTTAAATTTGTGTTAAAGGGGAGTTAAAGCGCATTATGGACTTGGTTATTTTAATAGTTGGTTAATGCTAGATAGATTTTGATTATTATATTTGTAACCCTGTGTTCAGCTCTGGGAAGTGGGGGAGGGGGAGGGAGGGGTTTTGGGGTGGGTATGGGGGTTTATACTGTAATTTTTATAAAACTTTTAATAAATAAAAAAAAAAACCTGCCATACCGAATCAAATGACTTTGCAAAACTGCTTACCACTGTTTTGCCAAGATTTAAAATGGCAGTTTGTGGAATAAAATCTGTTGAGCTGAGCACATAAATAGATAGAAATAGTTTCGTATGTTCGTTTAATGATTTGCAAACAAAAAAAACGGGCTTTTCAATCACTAGATGTCAACTCACAAATATGGGCTTTGGAAGAGAGAAATTAACCTATTTTGGTGTCTAGATCTAATTATAAATTGAATTGCTTTCATTAATCCCCATTGGCCCAGGTAACCTAGAGAGTCTTATTTGAATCCCCACCACCTGATTGCTTCGTGTCCTTGGTCCGACAATTCTGTCTTTCTTTCTCACGCTTCAGTGGAGAGCCTGAGTTATTTTTAGCTGCACTTCACCATTACCCTGGGGCCTCCAAATGGATCTGCTGTGCAATTTTGTGGAATCAAAAGCCCATCTTCAAACTCTAGTCCAGCTGCTCCTTTCCCTCCCTAGCTTCACTAGGATGCTTAAGATGATGAGAAGCCGAAAACGTTTCCAAAAAATGGACTTCAGGAAAGAAGATGATTGTGGCAGGTTGAGATAGAAGGATTGTCTAGTTCAGGGCTTTTCAACCTTTTCACCCATTGTACCACTTTTAGGATATGGCAACATCTGAGTACCACCCGTCGCCTAGCAAGGTGTCAAAAACTTGATGACCCCCCCCCAACAGGAAAAAAGTGATGAAGTACAGGTAGTCCTCGACTTACAACAGTTCGCTTAGTGACTGTTTGAAGTTACAATGGCACTGAAAAAAGTGCCCCCCCCAAGCCACAGCCGAGCAAGACGCCTGCCCACCTGGCGGTGCTCTACCTCCTGTCTGAGGTTTCCATTGTTGTGAGCGTTTCTGTTGAGGATTGGCAGTGGGGGTGGGGTGGGGTCTGTGTGGTTTTTATTCCCCCCCCCCGTCTGCTGGGTGGTTGCAGCAGGTTTTGGTCACTTCACATGACCCTGGGACACTGGCCGTCATAAATATGAATCAATTGCCAAGCATCTGAATGTAAATCACAAGACCCTGGAGATGCTGCAACATTCCAGCTGATTGGCACTTCTTCTGGGCTCAGCGGGAGCGCCAGGATCAGCGCCGAGCTCCAGCTGGAGCCTAGTGCTAATCCTGGCGCTTCCACTGAGCCCTGACAGTCCCGAAGAAGCGCCGATCAGCTGGAAAGCGGCACTGATCCTGGCGCTTCCGCTGAGCCCTGACAGCCCTGCAGCTCCAGCCATCTCTCGCTCAGGTTTGTGCGGTGCTGCCACCGGTTCAGCTCATTCCCCTCCTCCACTACCACTTTTCTAGGATGGTCGCGTACTACCTGCCAGGTGCCAATGTACCACAGGTGGTACCCGTACCACTGGTTGAAAAGCCCTGTTCTAGAGGGGAGATAGTGATGGGTATGAATGCCTGCTAGATGCTTCTATTGATGCTACTGCCGTCTTCTTCATCCACTGACTGAGGGAAGTAAGGTGATTTTAAGACAAGCACATCACCGATTCCTAAACAGAGAAGATTGAAGTGGAAAATCTCAAATCAGCTGTAAAGGATTTTTTTTAGGCTTCTAATCACTGTTCTCTCCAGAAAATCAGGCTTTACAGTTTCAAATTAGTATCTTTAAATGAATCCAACCGAAAAGCAATTTTAAAACAGGGCCACTGAGTTCAGCTAGGATATGATTTGTATGTATCTGGCTTAGTACAATACAAAATCCCAGCTGTTGTAACAACTACGTTGGAGGCTGTGACCCCAGATAATTTGAATTTATTCAATCAAAAAGCAGTGGCTTTGCATAATGTTTGAACTTAGCCATTTTACCCCTCCACTCCTGAAACGAAAAGCCATCTCTAATGATACTTAGGCATCACAGAAAATATAAATACATGGAATATAAAATTTGAAAATAGAAATTGTATTTTGATGTGCATCACTGGAACTTGTTTAGTATGTATGTTCCCCAACTTAGAAACTGGATGTTTTGAAGAGGACTCTTCTATAAAGAAGGGAATTCAGACCAAATTATTTCCAGTTTGCTAATTTCTGCTAAATAAAGTCAGGCTTGAACTGTGGCATGTCAGGAATAATAAGAGATGACTCTCTGAATCAATTGGTTTGTTATGCTTGGTAATAATTTTGTGTATCCCACTAAACAGTACTTTATGTAACCATGACTCCTTGCATAATCTTGTATTCATACATGCTGAACAAATTTCTTTCCTCTCAGTTAAACAACCACTGGCTATTTTACATAACAAAATAGAGTTTACAAACCTCACTAGCTGAGTTCAAAAATATTCAGCCACAAATAAGAATCCATATTTTAGTCAGTGATGTTTGAACCCAGACAAGGGCAGAATTTCCCCCAATGTGTTAGTTACATAACAGTTCTTACCATATTTATGCAAATTCTCTATCAACTAAGCCCATCCCGTTTCATGTCCCAAGACTAGGACAAAAGCAAAAAGCATTCATTCTTGACCCCAGCTCCTGAAAAGAGGATCACAATATTTTAAAAATGGTTAATTCTG